AAATAAAACTGCATTATCACATGATGCTCAATTATTTAATAGTCGAGAATTGTATCTTGAAGAATCTCATCAATGGATTCAAACCAAGCAAAGGCCTCAATATGATGATAATGATCCTGACGTTGTAATGCAAGGTGAAGGGGATAAAGATGTAATGGATATTGATGATGATTTTGAAACTGAGTTTGATAAAAGAATGACAATGAGCCTTGATGATGAAAAATCTAAAAAATATCAGTTCCCATTCGATGATGTTTCTGTTGGCTTTAATGATGCGAAAAAATATCGTGTACTCATTGTTGATGATAACACGGATATGAGGTATTTTATTATCCATAAAAAAAAAATTTATAAACTGTTATAAACAATTTGTATATTGATTTTTTTACTTTACTATTATTATTTTAATTTAATAGAAATTATTTGTCCGGTTTATTGAAAAAAGAATTTGACATTTACTGTGCTTGTGACGGACGTGATGCACTGAAAACGTTAAAGACGAATCCAACTTTACCAGATTTGGTGTTGAGTGGTGATTATTTAAATTTATTACAAAATTTTAAAAACTCGTAAAATTTATGTTTGTTGTTAAATGAATTTTATTAATTTTTCAGATATCATGATGCCAAATATGAATGGTTACCAATTGTTAAGTGCTATAAGAAATGATCCAGTAATGCAATTGATTCCTGTAATCTTGTTATCAGCAAAAGCTGGTGAAGAAGCTAGCATTCAAGGTATGTATATAAATCAAAAATTTTATTCTTAAAATTACTTGTTCTCCATATTTATTTTTTTTTTTTTGTACTATTTTGTAGGTTTGGAAAAAGGTGCTGATGATTACTTAACGAAACCATTTAGCGCTAGAGATCTAATTGCACGTGTCCGTGTGAATATCAGACTTTCATACCTTCGCCAACAACTCTTATTACAACAACGTCGACAATCAGAAACGAAACAATTACTATTTTCAATTAGTAACAAGATCCGTTCAGGTTTAAGTTTAGATAAAACCTTGACAACGGCTGTTGATGAAATTCTTCGAATTTTACCATCTGACAGAGTATTCATACTTTCAACCGAGGACCAATCAAATCATGAAGTCGTGGCATTTGCTGCGTCAGATTCCGATGAACAAAATATGAAAGGTTTGAAATTCCATTACACATATGGAGGTGAAGTTCAAACAGAAGGCGAAGCAGCTGCCTCAACATGTAGTGAAAGCATTAAGCCACTTTTAGATCACATTATTAAGGATTCGTTGGATTATAGTCGAGAAACTGATGTCACTGTCCTTTCGAATTTTAGTTCATTAGTAGCAAATAAACCTGTTTCCTTAATTTCAATTCCAATTAGAGAAAATTCAATTACTTGGGGATGGTTGATAGCAAACCGACCTCCCAATACTCCATGGTTGAATTCAGAAAAGACATTTTTACAACAGATAACAAATCAAATTAGTTTGGCAATCACTCATGCAAAATTAATGGAAGAAAAATTGAAACGGGAAGCTCAAATCGAAGCCGCTAAAGCTGCTAATGAAGCTAAAAGCCGAATTTTGGCTAATACTTCTCATGGTAAATAACATTTTAAATTATAAAATTTTTTATTACATGATTTGTTTTTAAAAAATTATTCTAATATATTATATTTGTTTTAAAAAGAATTGCGAACGCCCCTCGGCGCGATTATTGGAGTCCTGTCAGCATTCGAAGATACTCCATTGACTGAAGATCAAAAAGATATGGTTCACATTATGACCAGAGCTTCAGATGTTGTACTATCAGTCGTGAACGATATTTTGGATGCCGCGAAACTCGAGGCACAAAAAATAACGTTGGTTAATAGGACATTCGACTTATTTGATTTTATGGAAAAAACTATTGAATTGTTTGGTGAAAGTGCGGGTAATAAACAAATTGAATTGATCTTGAGTTGTGATCCTGATTCGTTACCTAAATATGTAAAGTCGGACCCTGAAAGGTAATTAATTTAAAAACATTTATATTATCATTGTTATTTATGAATTTATGACGTGAAAGATTTTAAATTTGTATATATATATTTTATAGATTGCAGCAAGTGTTGATAAACTTGTTATCTAATTCGTAAGTTTTTCTTTATTTTTATTTTATTTTATTTTATTTTATTTTTAACTTACAATCTTTATTATTTTGTAGGTTAAAATTCACAGACACTGGTGAAATTGTTCTTCGAGTTACATTGGATGAACTTGAGGGTGAAAGTAGTACAAGTGATGAAAATGCCAACAAAGGAAAATTATGTGTAGAAGTAATTGATTCTGGAATTGGGTATTTATTTATTTATAATTATAATTTTATATAATTATATTTTAATAGTTTAACATTTTTTTTATTAATTTATATAATTTATTTATTAATCTTAATTAAGAATTGATCCTGCGTTTATTCAAAGTATTTGGGAAAGTTTCTCACAAGGTGATCAATCCATGACAAGACGACAAGACGGTACAGGTCTTGGTCTTTCAATTTGCAAACATTTAGTAACAATAAATGGAGGCAAAATAGGTGTGGAAAGTGAATTAAAGAAAGGAAGTCGATTTTGGTTCACCTGGAATATTGAACGATTATCATTATCCTCTGTTCCTATAACGACAATGTCTAAAACTCCAGATACCATAAATTTATCTACACGTTCTAAACGAGTTTTAATTGTGGATTATTCTGATTTGTCCCGCCAGACATTGGTTAAATTGGTGGAAGGTAGTGTGGAAAGAATAAATGCATTTGGTTCATGTGAAGAATGTATAACTACCGTAAAAGCATGGCGAGAACAGTATCATGATGAAGCGTTATATGATATAGTATTTTTCAATGTTCGAGAAAATATTTCAGAAGAAATTAAAAATTCTGCCAAGGAACTACGTAGAGTTTTTGATGATAATTTATGTATTGTCCTAATTGTATTCTGGTCAGCAAATGGTAGAGCATTAGGACAAAATTTAGTTCAAGAAATTGGTGGTAAAACATGCATGATTTGTAAACCAGTAATGCAAAGACGCTTGGTTCATTGCCTTTACTCAAGAGATTTTGTATCCGAACCTTATGCACCAACAATACAAAATGAATACTATAGTTCAGTTAAACCTTTAGCTGATTTGAGAATTGAAAACTTTTACCGTACGAACAGACCTCCATTTAGTGATGAAACTGTAAAAGAATCATCTAATTTGGAGAAAAGTCCAATGGTTGTATCTGAAGAAACTGCGAAATCTAGCATTGAAGTAATAAGAAAAGAAGATTTGCCTGCAGTGAACGTACCGGGTACCGAACCATTGGTAAAGGGTAAAGGTAAAAATGTTGAAACAGCACAATCGGGTACGAAAAGAATGGCGGATGATGAAACAGAAAATACCACAACTCCGACTGATGATCGTGCATCAAAATTCAGATTTAGACCTGTTTCAAAATCGAAATGTATTTTATGTGTGGTAAGTTTTGAATTCTAAGTAATAGATTTGATAGATTTGATATCATTTCACATTTATTTATTTTATTATTTTGAATATCTTTTTTAATCTTTTTTTTAAATCTTTTTTTTTTTTTTGGATCGATTACAGGAAGATAATCCCATAAATCTAAAAGTTATTCAACATCAACTTTCAAAACTTGGTTATCCATCATTATGTGCTACAAATGGACAGGAAGCTGTAAATTTGATAGAATCAGAGTATTCAAACTTTTCTCAAGACGCTTCATCTTCTGATGAATCTAATCCTGGAAGAATTGCTTTAATTTTAATGGATTGTGCTATGGTGAGTTACCATTTGATTTATAAAAAAAAACTTGGCATGATAAATTTCTCAAAATCTTTAATTACATCGATCACTAATAATTGATATTTTTGTTTTAACAAATAGCCAATAATGTCAGGATTTGATGCATCAAGAGCAATAAGAGCCATGAATACGCCAATATCAAATGTCCCAATTATCGCATTAACTGCCTCAGCCGTTCAGGGTACAAAAGAACAATGTTTGGAATCAGGAATGAACGACTATCTTACTAAGCCATTGAAAATTGCCAAGCTTAAAGAAATGCTAGACCAATGGCTTGGTAACAACGAATCAAATGAATGAAGTTTTTTTTCATAAATAAAAGTTGTTGTGAATAGGTTATGGGACATTTGGCGCGTATGGGATTTTTGTAAATTTGTATTTATTTATTTATTTTATTCTTGTTTTTTTTTTTTAAATATCGTACTTTTTTCTTTTATTTATTTTATTACCATTACTATTTTCTTACCCATTCTGGGTTCAAACGTTTACTTTTTAAAAAGCTTGTTTTTACTATGATTAGATTTCGTTTTAAGAACGCCAAACGACAGAAAACGACTTATGTCGTTCAATTTTATTCGATAATTTTTTTATGCTACACACAAAACGTTTTATGCATATGGTTTAGTATATTTCTTATCTATGGTTACATTTGTTTAGGATTTAGGATTTCAAAAAAATAATTTTTCTATGCTATATATATGTGTAAATTTAAGATTTTTTAAGATTTTTTTTTTTTAAAAAAAAATGTGTATTTATATTTGGTAAAGTCAAATAAATGTATTAAAGCAGTTCATTTTACTTAATTACTGTATTACTATCGGAAAGTATTTTTCAATTAATTATTATTACAGCCAAAAAAAAAAAAACAAACAAATACTGCACTGATTCTTTAATAAAGGGGTTATTAGTCAGCTAAGCCAAACGTGTTAATTGCATTAATATCTTCAAAACATGTTTGTTAACAAGTTTTCTAAATGACTCATTAAAATTTGGTTTTTTATAGTGTCGATTTGATATACTGTACTCAATCTTTCACTACGTAGCAGTAACTTGCACACGTGAAATTCGAGACATTACTTCAAAGAAAATATTGTTAGCATATTACTAAAAATTAGAATTTAATATAATAACTTTATATTACACACTGCATTGGCTGAATCGTCTCTAGTAAGAAGCATGTAAATCTTTGTGCTATATTTAAGGTAAAAGTCTACGTATAGCGATAACGTACGTACAGTAGGCGGCAAAAGTAACACGCCCGATTTTTCAATAAAGATTTATAATTTATTCTATTTTTGCACTATATATATATATTTTTTTTTTATAATTAATTAATACACTGTTAAACGCATGTAGACTATAGATGCAGACATTTGAAGACGTATGGTTACGTCCAATTGACGTATCGTCAGGTCAAAATTGTCGTAACGATGTAGGTCATAATATCTAACATTTGCCGTAACTTAGTTCGGCAATATAAAAAGTTACGGCAATAAAAAATGTTGCAACACTATACGAAGTTACGATGTTATAGAAAAATGGAAATTACGCAATAAAAATGGTTATACGTATTAATTGATCAATCCAAGGATTTATTCCAATAACATACAATTAGAGATTGGCAAAATGCACATTTTGCCGCAGCTACGATACCATCTTTCTCATCCATCAAGCGATCATGCACATGATTAATAAGTAATTCATGATCGGCAAAATGCGCATCCCTATATATGATAACAACGTATAATAACTACATAACAGATAATATATTTATTACACTTTACGGGTAGTGTCAAATATTTTATATTGAATAAAATGGTATATAAAATAATATTGACTAAGCTTATATATAGGGTTGTTAATGGTAGAACCCAACCCAAATTGGAGTGGGTTTAAAATTATGCCTTTAAATTTGGAGCAACCTGGAGTAACCCGGAGTACTATGAAGCAACCCGGAGCAAAACATTGGAGTAGGTTGAAGAAACAGGAGCGACCGTCAAGGTTACACAAGCTGCCGATAACCTCCGGCCATCAGTCAGCCAATCAAAATTTCAAGGGG